GGGTAGGGTAGGGTAGGGTAGGGTAGGGTAGGGTAGGGTAGGGTAGGTTGAACTACTTACTTGTCAAACACAGACTTGTATCGTTTGACAAACATTTTTCTCAAGGTACCGTCAGGGTGGGTTAGTCGTTGACCTAAATGGCTTTGCTCTTCATAGACCAAAGCAAGATCAAGTAACGGAAATCGTCTGTAAAAGATAAATAATATAAGGATAAAATGAAGTCATGCAAAATGAGGTTATGAAATTGTAAAAGGCACATTGAAACCAAAATGAAATGCAGTTCGCACAACACAGCAGATATCAATACGAACAGCGAAAAATTTTGATAACAACATGGCTTTGTAGGAATGGGTCATACTTACCCGAGATCATCAGCTTCAAGTTTGTTAGTGTTGATAGTGTTGATAGCGTAGACTTCAAGGTCGTTAAAGGGGACTAGCTCGTAAATCTTCCGAAATTCAATTCGGCTGAAATTTCAATAAAATAAACTATAAGGGTCTTATAATCACTGGTTAAAGTTTTTTCTTCATAATCCAATGCGAAGAATTATAATTTTACGAAATTGTATAGGTGTCAGTGACGTCACACACTCAACACTTAACATTGCTCCATACATTTCATTGTATTTTTTGATCAAAATATGCGTTCGTTTTATACTCAGATGCATTTTTTAAAGGTGGTTCACTACTTTTCAACATTTGATTTGAGCCCACTCGTTTTCCATATGATATCGCTTACTCGCTCGCAGACTAGCTCGTTCGCGATATCATATGGAAACTCGTTAACAAAAATGATATCAAGCTCTTAGCATGTGATAATCTCTATATATCGTATTCACTGACGTCGCCGCCAAATTTTCTGGGCATTGTATTGAATATGGTTGAATCAAAGATCTTGCGCTCAAAGTGATTATTCGAAAAAATAATCTCAACTAAACTTTGGGTTATAATAAGCTTTCGATACCGAGATATAAACGATCACATTTGCATGCTCATTCTTAAGTGTGAAATGTATGGGTCCCTCAAGGTCGGTGGACCTCCGTTATGCACCAAAATGCATGGCGGCCAAATTAATTGGGATTCAAATGGGCATGTGAAATATTGTGAATACCTTATTTTCTCGACAGACGATAGTCATGTCAGTTACGGGATTTCTGGTTTCTCGGAAAATTCTGATGGAAGGGTTTGATATTGAAAATATGGTTATTTTGGAGAGATAAAGATGCATTGAGAGTCAAGGCCTGGTTTAGAATTTCAAAAGCACAATAGACAGGTAAAGTAGTCTTGGTATCACTACGGGTGATAATGTATAAGGTACCATTTGCTGGCATGGTACCTGTGCAGATCCTCTCAACACATCAATGCAAGACCCGATTTTCATCTCACAAATTTTTCCACCATGGGTATTAGGATAACTGCAGCTTAACTTGACTTTTCGGCTCTGACAGTGTTCTAAAAAACGGGAAATTATATTTAAAAAATTCCTGTTTGAAAAGCAAATGCAAAAGACATATTGAAAAAAAGAAAAAAAAAACGATTAATATGTATGAATATTTTGATAAGCAGTTGAAAAAATATTTTGGCCTATCTTGCTCCAGAAATAACCTGAAATAGACAAAAGTGATATTAGAATATAGTAATAATAGAAATAGAAATCAAATCAAAATCAAAGAAATAACAAATGACAAAAATACAAACTATTTAATTTCTATAAACAATATATTAAAAAAATGAGTCATAACATATTTATGTTAAAAAAAAAGTAAACAAAAGAATAAAAATGTGAATATTATATAATTGAGTAACATACAAAACAAAGTCGATATATATGAGTATGATATTGTTTAAGATTTTTGAATATTTGTGATATTAAACATGTGCATATCACTATAATTTTTCAAAAAAAAAAAAAAAACTTGGTCAAAAATAAGTATACTGAAAGCATCGGGCCATTGTACTTCATTTTTGTACCTTTGATATATTTTCTTCCATTCAACCCATTTCCTCACCCACTTCACCCCTCCTCGGGCGCTTTCCTACATCCCCTTCTTCTCCTACTTCACTCCCTCCTCCTCCCCTTTCACTCCCTCCCCATCCCCTTTTACTCCTTCCTCATCCCCCTTCACTCCCTCCTCATCCCCCTTCACTCCCTCCTTCTCCCCCTTCACTCCTCCCCCTCCTTCTTCACTTCCTCCTCATCCCTTGAACCTTGAACCCTTCTCTTCCTCCATCATCCCTTCCTCCAAACCCTTTACTAAGTCATCTTCCCCCTTCACTGAGCCCTCCTCCCCATTCACTTAGTCCTCCTCCCCCTTCACTGAGTCCTCCTCCCCCTTCACCCCGTTAGTCCTTTAACCCTTTCCGCACCATCCCTTCTACTTGTCAGAGGATCACAACTTATTGTTTCTCGTTTCTAACTTAAATTTTGCCCCCTGAAAAATGGTTAATTTCAATAATGCAAGAATTCAAAAAGGTACAAAAATCAAACTTAATGGCCCACTTCAAATAAAGTACCTTTATTATTTGACCAAGACAACAACACCAGTCTAGTCTAGGTAATCTTGATACCTTTAAGATTCCTCAAATGTATGCTCACAATTCTGATGTTCAAAGCATTCGAACATCAGAATAGTAATCAAAAAGATAGTGCCACTAAGCATTTTCAAATGTGACAAATGCCTGGTAACCATATAACAATTTACTAACAGTATTTCTAGTCTTGTCCTCGGACCTCTTTACGTGCGCAGCGAAAAATCAACAAAAATGCATAAATACACAACAACCTATACTTGGCGAAAACTTAGGGGAAATGGCATAATTATAAGTTGAGTGAATGTTTTCGCAAAGAGATATTTTAAGCTATTATGTCAGTTATTACTATAATTATTTCTTGGTAAGATGGACGTGCCGTGCCGCGAAAGTGACAGTGCCACCCTTTGATTGCTAGAGTGGTGATCTAACTCAGCACCATTAAGGCATGGCTCTTTTGAGGAAGTGATGGAAAATGAGTTATTTATTCATCTCTTTGACAGTTTACTATGAATCTTTCCCAAATTTGGCTCGTAGTAGTAATTCTTCAAGGCAAGCAATTACCGCATATCTGTTACCATGGAAACCA